AATATTGGTTTTGCTTTGTTTCACAGAACTAATCGTTGCCTGGGTTGCGTACGTATATGTGGGGCGGAGCTATCAAAATAGGGGCAAGACCCTTTTGGGGTAGGGGCGTGTTTGTTTTGGTGATTTCAAATATCAACATTGGCTACCAGAAATCACTTACTCTGCCTTTAATGAATCGTGTTTCCTTCTGGAGCATCAGTGAGCATTGCGTATGTGTCCCTCAGTTGTCCTCAGTGTGAAAAGATGGATCTCAAAATCATACAGTCATTGTTGGAAAGGGTTCAAATATGCAAAAGATGCTGGAAAACCAAAGAATCTGTGGGACCTGAAGGAGTTTTCTGAGGAACAGTGGGCAGTTTAGCTGTTCAGGACAAACAAGGGACTCATGAACAACCAAAACAAAACAAAACAAAAACAGCGGTGGATCATCCAGGTAACAACACAGTATTAAGAATCAAGTGTAAACTTTTGAACGGGGTCATTTTTATAAATTCAGCTATTATGTTCTCTTGTGGAATATATGTAAATGTTTTTTTATGTGATTATTCAAGTCAGTACTAAATAAAAAATAACATGCATTTTGTATGATCCCTCTTATTTTGGTAAAATAATTAACATTCTGCAGATTCTGACTTCAACTGTAACAAACAGGATGATGGAGGTGTAGATCGAGTAGAGGAGCGTGATGGCCAGAACTAAAGGATTGAAAAGCTGCTGCTTCTGTCCAATCGAGTAGATCTCAGGCCAACGCAGACAACTCTTGGCGCTCACATCCTATCATGGAGTTAATGTAAACAGTAAGACTTCCAGATGAACCAATCAGATGTTAGATTTCTTGTGATCTGTTTGTATTTAGCGCACCTGTTCAAAAAAACCCATGCACTGTATAGGCAGGGATGTGTACAGTGTTGTGTAGAGGCTAATAAACCAGCTCTCATACATAGGCTGGAAAAGAGGGAAAAAATGCACCAAAATAAGCTGCTCATGTCATTTCTTAGATAAGCAATACTGCATGTTGTTTTGACTGTTTGACTGTAATGACAGATATTTTTGCAGTGTTGGTGGGTGTAAAGTGGATTAAGTGACCTAGTTGCTCTACCTGAGCGCTGAAGCCATTGTAGAAACTATACCAAACGTGCACCAGAGCAAAAGCAGTGGTTTTGTAGAGGAAATAGCGCAGAAGGATGCAGATGCGGTAGTATGACCAGTGCCCGTGTACCAACAGCAGCCTGCGAAGGAAGCTGAACTGTGCCAGAGCGAAATCTGCATTCTGCACCGCCTGACTGCCCTCCATGCCGCAAAGACCAACGCCTATATGTGCCGCTGGTGTATATACGAGAGATTAGTTGATTAGCAATGTGAGAATTTGCTAGAGAAATAACAAATAATACATTTAGATAGTTGCTGTTTTGATCAAACAGGAAATTTCTTACTCTTGATCATGTTGACATCGTTGGCACCATCGCCTATCGCCATTGTAATCGAAGTCGAATGCTTCCTGACCATCTCCACCACTTCTGCTTTTTGCGCCGGTGTGACACGACAGCACAATACAGACTGGCACTGATCAGACAGAGCAACAAACTTTGCCCCCCATTCTGGCATTCTGGTCAATTCTGCCTGTAATGGTCAGAAAATAAACAGGGACACATATTAATACATCATTAATATTGTGAAAAATGATCGCAATTTAAAATAACTGGTTTGTATTGTAATATATTTTAAAATGTAATTTATTCCTGTGTTGTAAAGCTGAATTTTCAGCATCATTACTCCAGTCTTCAGAGTCACATGATCCTTCAGAAATCATTCTAATATGCTGATTTGCTGCTCAAGAAACATTTCCTATTATTCTCAACGCTGAAAACAGTTGTGCTGCTCAACATTTTTGTGGAAACGTATACCTTTTTTTCAATAGAATAGCATTTATTAGAAATAGAAATCTTCTGAAACATTATAAATGCCTTGACTGTCACTTTTGATCAACTGAATTCATCCTTCCTGAATAAAAGTATTACTTTCTATTATTGTACTGTATATCTAAAATGTTCAGATTTAAAAGCATGAACCTTTGGCTTTATATGCTCACCAGTTCAGGACCCGAAATTACTAGTGCTGCTTTGCCCTTCACTGCTCTCCTGTCTGTGATCCAAACCTCCGGCTCTTTAGACATGACATGAACATCTGGAGAAGGAGACTCTAGAAGCTGCCTGGAGATGTTGACAACAGTCATGTTGAGTTATATTACATGTGAATGTGTATTTGTATAAGAGGTGCAATGAAAACATTTTTTTCTGTTCTCACAAATTCACAACCCATTAGAACACATTTGATGCTTAACAGACAGCTATATGGATAGGATCATGGACCAATTAAATGTCATTGTGGGTGTGGCTATCTAGCGTGACGTGATAATAATAGAAACAAAGCAAAATGACCAACTAGTTGCAACCATACTTCTGTATGCTTCAAATGGTGACAGGAGGTACATACAGTTTGAGGCTGCATCCAAAATCCCATAAATGGTGTGCTAAAAGAGTAGCATGTCTGAATTCACAGTATTCATAAAACAAAACGGCTGCAAGTAATTACTTATTCAAAAGAAGTACCTGCTCAGAGAATATGTGATTTCGGACACAGTCTGAGTATCTAGAAAATGTGTGGTCATAAAATTGTCATCAGCACAGAATTCAACAAATTCACATTTCAGTCTCATGCTTTTAAAAATCTTTTGCAATTTTAGGGGTAATAATATTAATAATAATAATAATAATAATTATTATTATTATTAAACATTTCATTTTATTTAAATTATTACATAATATAATTATGATTTAATAATCATCATCACATCATTATTATTATTAATAATAATATACATTTAATTAATTACAGTGGGTACGGAAAGTATTCAGACCCCCTTAAATTTTTCACTCTTTGTTTCAACAAACTGTGATGTGGGGCACATTAATACTAAATTTTACATTATTTAGTATGGGTAGTTTGCAAATTGGGTGCTTGTCACAGTAACAGCTGATTCGAATAATCTCCGATTGTAGAAATGTTAATGATACACTCTTAAAAATGCTGGGTTAAATATAACCCAGCGCTGGATTAAAAAGGGACAAACCCAGCTATTGGGTTGTTTTGACCCAGCGGTTGGGTTGTTTTGAACCCAAACGCTCGGTCAAAACAACCCAATAGCCGGGGTTGTCCCTTTTTAACCCAGCATTTTTTAGAGTGTATGCCTGTATTTTCTGACCTAAGCTCCTCCCCTTGAATTAGGGTCGTGTCTGGATCCATAAGTTTGCAGGCATATCCCACATTCACAGCCGTTTCTGTTGGGAAGAAGTAGCAAACAGCGTAAATTTGTTTTAATTTACTGCTTTAGGTTCTTGAAACCAGCTTATACATATGCTGAAATGGCACCTGTTTTGTCTCCCGTCAGCACCCACACCTTCAACCCCGCCCTCCTCAGGGTGGCGATGGTCTCGGGGACACCTTCCTGGAGACGATCCTCAATGGCAGTCACGCCCAACAGCTACACAAACAGGATTGTTTAATAACAGAATGCTACATGCTTTCGATAATCTACCGTCCTAAAGTTGACTCCAGAGACAATTAGTGTTTCATAATAACTCCCTTTGAGTACCGTTAAGTCTTTTTCCATTTGATCATATATCTCTTCGAGCGCGGTCTCCTGGTTACCCGTCGATGTGGCCGCCTGACTGAGGGTGCGGCTCCACTCTGTCCACAGGGCTTCAGGAACTGAGCGCACCGCCACACACAGAGTCCTCAGACAGCTCTGAGCGAACAGCTGCCAACCGCACACACATCCAAAGACATCAACAAATGCCTCATACGTAAACTCATACTCAACCATTTTCCTTTCACACCAATAACGATAACTATGAAGATAATTATATTAGCATCCACACCCACACACAACAACGTTGTTTAATTCATGATAAGCATGGTGCAGTTATATCATCTGCTACTTTAAAGGGGTCATGAACTGAGAAACCAAAATTCCCTTGATATTTTGACATATAAGAGGTCATTGTACTATAAAAACATCCTGTAAGTTTCAGAACTCGAAACTTTCTCGTTAGTCTAAAAACAGCTTATATTGAAGCCAATCTGCCAAAATGACAGCTTGTGGAATGTACGACTATAATGTATTAGTGTGGATAAACACCGCCTCCGCAGAAGATCAACACCTGCTTATACATCACTGCCTGTTTAGCCCCGCCCACCGATTCACACATGTAGTGTAAATAACGAGAGGCGAAAGCACAGGTCTATGCAGAAACCAACCAAACAATAAAGATGGCTCTGAAGACAAGACGATGCTCTGCAGTGCCAAGTTGTGGAAAAACAGTCGTTGAATTGTCTTCCTTCTGATCCCAACCTTAGGAAAGAGTGGATGAACTTTATTTTTAATGAAGATCCAGACCGCGTAAGTAAGAACTTGGTCCTTTGTTCACTTCATTTTAACGCAGATTCGTTTACAAACAAGGCACAATTCGACGCGGGATTTTCAAAAAGATTGAAACAAAGACGATGCTGTGCCAACTATATTGGATCCGACCGTAATGTCTCAACACAAGTGAGTAACTGTTTTGTGATCACTATTGCTTTGTCTTTTCTTACAGATCGTTTGAGTATTTAAACGTTTTTGATCTAAATCACAACAGTGTCCATCTATGAAGAATGTAGGCTGTCAAACATACACAAGTGTTAGCCAATCATAGCAGTGGGCGTTTACTTCCGAGTCTACGATCCACCATGTCTATTCAAACAGAGGGTTCAAATGGGGGAGTTAAACAGGACAGAAAAATATGTTTTTTGATGTAAAAATCTTTATAAAATTATAAGGGGACCTCAGAGAACAGTACAAAATAATGAAGCCAGTTCACGATCCCTTTAAATGCTCTCAAGCTCTTTAAAGTTGAATAGATTCTGATTAGCTGTCAATAACTATTCATTTTCCATCCAATGTTGTGAATTTATCTTATGCAGAAAATGTGAATATTGCATAAAACATTTGTGAATAAAGCATGGTTTCCATCCATTGTGTTCAAGAGAACAAAATTGCCACTTCCTGGTGCTAATTATTAATAATACAAATTAAAGTTGCTGCAACAAGGAAGCCTGTGGCTCTTTTTCCTACATAATAAATGACTTGCGCCTTAGTGTGCAGATGAAATGCAATAGCAAACTCTGCCATGCTATCTTGCATTCGAAGGCAGATGATGTTTGGGAAAGTAATTTTGTGAGACCGTTCTAAACCAAATCATATGGATGACGGACTTTGGCATTTCAGAATGATTATAACAATGGATGGACCTTTAAAGTCGCCTCACCTCTAGAGCTCTCTCGGTGCTCTCCTGAAGTGGCCGGTCCGTTTGAAGCCTTTCCAGAACAACAATATCTGCACCTTTACAGTACAGCTTCAACTGTCCTCTAGGGTCCCGCACTACACAAACCCATACATTAACCCATTGTTAATATGGTTTTTACACATATCTTATGTACCTTGCACAGCATGAATTTCATCATCAGCATAGTACATTCATACTGTACATTCATACAGCTTGACTTCACTCAATTCACACATGCGCCTTTTTGCACTAATAAACTTTGAAAGCCTATGTGTTTGGCTGTACGCAAACTCTTTAAGTGTTCACGGCAGAACTGAAGCCTTGGGCTTCAACGTCACGATATTTTAGAAATTTGAAAAGAACAAACCCAAAAGGTAAGAGTGATGTTTTTTTGCCAATACAGTCGAAGTCAGTTGGGTCCAGTCATTATATAGACAAAAACATTCTTTAATATATCATCTTTTGTGTTTCACAGAAGAAAAGTCGTCTAACAAGTTTGGAACGGCATGAGTAAATGATGACAGAATTTTCATTTTTGGGTGAACTATCTCTTTAGGAGCAGTTGATGAAACTCACCCAGTACTGACATGCGTCTCCTCTTGCTGGTGAAGTCCAGGAGGGCCAGGAGCTGATAGTTTCGCGTGAGGCCCATCTCACTGATGGTGAGGGTTTCTCGTGTACGGGAGAGAAACACCCAGCCGAGCTCCCGCGCTGCACACACCAGAGCTTCCTCATCCGGAGAGGCAGCCTGGTAATGAGGCAAACCTGTATTTAAAAAAAAAAAAGTAAAATACACATTCCTATGATTTTGCCTGGTCTCCATTTTATGGTGCGGTATTCCATTTGGCATCCATTCTTTCGTGGTAAACCATCAAAAATTTGTAGGCACTTCTTTTTTAACTTTTCTTCTTATTTTTCTTCTGGCTTGTGTCAAAAAGGAAGATCTAACTTCACTATGACCATTTTATTAAAATTCTTAAAGCCTTTCAAGCCTTCTAGCGCTACCAAGAGCTTAAAAGTTGCGTTTACACTGCTGTTTTGAGGTCTGAAGTTGAAGTTTGAGGTTTCTTGAGCACTAAATCGGCATATTAGAATGATTTCTGAAGGATCATGTGACACTGAAGACTGGAGGAATGATGCTGAAAATTCAGCTTTGCATCACAGGAATAAATTACATTTTAACATTTTTTTAAATAGAAAACAGTTATTTTAAACTGTAATAACATTTCACAATATTACTGCTTTTACTGTATTTTTCCTTTAATAAATGCAGCCTTGGTGAGCATTAGAAACTTCTTTCAAAAACACCTGTCCTGACCCAAAACCTTTGAACCGTAGTGTAGGTTTTTGTTGACAACATTTAACCTGCGCTATAAACTTTTAAACAATTTTTTAAATGAAGCTGTGAATGTGTGAGGCTTTTACATTGGGACCAATGTCCAAATGAGGGTCCAAAAAAACAACAACTTTGGGGCCCCCTGCTGGTCAAAAGTTATAAATGCTATAATTTATGGCCCTGTAATTGCATTTTGCAGCTGTATTTTCATCATTCCCCTTCCTTATGTCCTAACAATTACAATAATGCCAGAACTGAATAAATATAATTTCTACTAACCATCCCTCCACTCGCTCATGACAGTGTGGCAAAGGGCCAGAGCTGTGAGGAACTCTTGGCACTCAGGGCTGCTCCGTTCACACAGCTTGTCAACCAACCGCTGGTCGGAAAACTTCAGTCCACCACAGGAAAACCGGTTCCAGCTTAAGTCTAGCGGCTTGTTGAAATCAAAAAATGAAATGTATCAACTTTGACTAGGTCTGTACATTAGAACAGTAATAAATGAATGTATTACTTCTTACCTTTAGTTCCTTTGACATATCACCTGAATAAACATACACTCATCATTAGTGACATTATAAAGTACAGAAGGCTGAAAAGAGCGTCAAAGAAATTAACAGACCATAAATGTGTCCGGCGATGAAGCACTGACGAAAAAGCAGGCGGTTTTGTGTTAGAGTGCCGGTCTTGTCGCTGAGCAGGTGGCCCACCTGACCCAATTCCTCATTCAGGGTGGTTGTACGGGCCTGAGCGGGGCTGTTATTGTCCTCCCAGTACATCTCAACATCCCAGCCAATCAGGAGACAGTGCACCATGTGGATCACTTCAAATCTGGTGCGAGACAATGAAACAGTGAGCGAAATATTAAAAGATAACAAACTAAATGTTAAAAAAGGCATAATCAGAATATGGAGAGCTGGTGTTACGTTATATAAAGAGACATGGGCATAGAAGGACTAAGCAAAATGATGTAGCCCCAGAAGGAGAGGAATCCCAGGTAGGCAGGAGACGAATCACGCTGCAAGACCGTGACAACGTCGTACTGAGGGGAAACCCTGTGCTCAAAAAGCCCAGCGCCCACAGCCAGGAGAAGAGCTGTTGTTAGCATGAACAGCAGAATCTGAAACATGATAAAAACTGAGTTAGATGGGGAACATTTTCAGACAGATTCATAAGAAACATTCATACAGACAAGTGTGTTAATACATAAAGAAAACTTAAAAAAATTAAAAATTAAACTAAAAAAATAAAAACACAAATCTAAAAATAAAAATATATAAAAAAATAAAAATAAATAGTATAAATAGATTTTTAAAATATAAATAAAATAAATGTATAATACAAATATACACAAATAAAAAAACTAACAAGCTAAAAAATTAGCCTAAATAAAAAAAGGAATGGAGGTCTTCACAGTTATATTTTTGATCATTAAAATGAGCTTTTAATGAGTAAAAAAATTTAAAAGTATTTCTTACTACTACAATTAATCAAATGTAGTAAGATCACTCTAACTAATTATATATGATATTTGCATATGATTTGAATTGTTATATACAGCTAAGAAGGTCAACGAGTGATTGCACAGTCAATGAACTTAAAAAAGCTACTATTCAGGCCATTCATGTTAATAGTTTTAATTTTAAGATAATAGTTGATGCAAAGTTATACAGTTTCGTTCTCTCTCTTACCACCAACACAGTTTTGTTTAGTAGTATTTCCACTTGAGTTTTCTTCAGTTTCAGTTTTCCACAGTTTTGCAGAATTTTACTATCTGAGCCTGTTATGGTCAAAGAAAAACATTTAATTTTTCATCTGTTAAACAAGGCCATTTGAAACAATAGGTCTGCACAGGACTGGTAGTGTTTAGGCTACAAATAGCACAGATTTTATTTACCTGTGTATATGGCTAATCCATAAACTATGTCCGTGTTTCGCAGCACAGTCCCTCGAAGGAGCAGGTGGTCTGTGTCCAGAAGGTGGCGCTCTCCTTTCCAATGTAACTCACCTTTGAAGGAATGCAAATTACCGTTTGGTTCTTCGCACCACACAATACCTAAGGTAAAAAAAAAAAAGAGAGAGAGAAAGAGTCAAAGAAATGAATAGAAAGCTTATCTTCTGGTCACTACAAATGAATGACTCCAATGTTTGCGAGTCCATACAAACCATCAAAGGCTGCCAGGTTTTGCTTAACTGAATCGCCATTCAACTCACTCTGAGTTACACTCAGAGCCTGGCGAAACTTCAAGTTGGTTTCTCTGCAAACAGCAGAATAATAGAGTGTAAGAACAATGCAAACATGCTACATTAGCACTGGAGCTAATCTTCCACAACATGGTATATTTGGTGTATTTAAAGAAGTTTCTCTACACATAGATTACACATTAACAGTTCTATTTAGAACCATATGAGCCTGAAGAATCCTTTTTGTTGTTGTTGTTGAAATAGTTTAAGGTTCTTTATTCCCGCCTTTTTGTTTTTCAAATCTGTAACTGTCGAAGCCACCTCATCTAACTACACAGACTGTCAACACACTCTTGACAGGTAAATTTCTTTCTGAAAATGTCTATAAATTTAAAGTTTCAAATTGTAACTGGTTTCCTAACAATAAAGTATTTTGTTATTTTTAGTATAACCGAACATGTAAATGTGACCAGCTTTCATATCTGCAGTGGGAATGCTAGGAATGCTAGTCTGCTGTGTGTCCAGAAGGAGATGCTCTTACCCATCGATGTCTGCTGTTTCTACGTAGCATACGTAGCAAGGCTCAGTGCTGCAAAGGAGGAGCAAATCTGCCTGGGATAAACAACAGAACAAACTTTAGGGTTGTTAGCATTAGCTAAACTTGTTTGCAGTTGATCTTAAGTGGGGAGATAACTTCATAGATCCACTAAAAGTCACTTTGAGACCAAAATGAGATCAGAAAGTTTGGTATTGGTATCTAATGCAATGAAATTCATATTTAAGTGTGACTTGTGTGTCCAAATACATTTTTGGCTGCTGGGTTAGAAACACAGATACACACACTCACAGGTATGATCTGGTCCTTATGAACATAAAAAAATAAAAATAAATAGTATAAATAGATTTTTAAAATATAAATAAAATAAATGTATAATACAAATATACACAAATAAAAAAACTAACAAGCTAAAAAATTAGCCTAAATAAAAAAAGGAATGGAGGTCTTCACAGTTATATTTTTGATCATTAAAATGAGCTTTTAATGAGTAAAAAAATTTAAAAGTATTTCTTACTACTACAATTAATCAAATGTAGTAAGATCACTCTAACTAATTATATATGATATTTGCATATGATTTGAATTGTTATATACAGCTAAGAAGGTCAACGAGTGATTGCACAGTCAATGAACTTAAAAAAGCTACTATTCAGGCCATTCATGTTAATAGTTTTAATTTTAAGATAATAGTTGATGCAAAGTTATACAGTTTCGTTCTCTCTCTTACCACCAACACAGTTTTGTTTAGTAGTATTTCCACTTGAGTTTTCTTCAGTTTCAGTTTTCCACAGTTTTGCAGAATTTTACTATCTGAGCCTGTTATGGTCAAAGAAAAACATTTAATTTTTCATCTGTTAAACAAGGCCATTTGAAACAATAGGTCTGCACAGGACTGGTAGTGTTTAGGCTACAAATAGCACAGATTTTATTTACCTGTGTATATGGCTAATCCATAAACTATGTCCGTGTTTCGCAGCACAGTCCCTCGAAGGAGCAGGTGGTCTGTGTCCAGAAGGTGGCGCTCTCCTTTCCAATGTAACTCACCTTTGAAGGAATGCAAATTACCGTTTGGTTCTTCGCACCACACAATACCTAAGGTAAAAAAAAAAAGGAGAGAGAGAAAGAGTCAAAGAAATGAATAGAAAGCTTATCTTCTGGTCACTACAAATGAATGACTCCAATGTTTGCGAGTCCATACAAACCATCAAAGGCTGCCAGGTTTTGCTTAACTGAATCGCCATTCAACTCAGTATGAGTTACACTCAGAGCCTGGCGAAACTTCAAGTTGGTTTCTCTGCAAACAGCAGAATAATAGAGTGTAAGAACAATGCAAACATGCTACATTAGCACTGGAGCTAATCTTCCACAACATGGTATATTTGGTGTATTTAAAGAAGTTTCTCTACACATAGATTACACATTAACAGTTCTATTTAGAACCATATGAGCCTGAAGAATCCTTTTTGTTGTTGTTGTTGAAATAGTTTAAGGTTCTTTATTCCCGCCTTTTTGTTTTTCAAATCTGTAACTGTCGAAGCCACCTCATCTAACTACACAGACTGTCAACACACTCTTGACAGGTAAATTTCTTTCTGAAAATGTCTATAAATTTAAAGTTTCAAATTGTAACTGGTTTCCTAACAATAAAGTATTTTGTTATTTTTAGTATAACCGAACATGTAAATGTGACCAGCTTTCATATCTGCAGTGGGAATGCTAGTCAGTCAGCTCTGCTGTGTGTCCAGAAGGAGATGCTCTTACCCATCGATGTCTGCTGTTTCTACGTAGCAAAGGCTGTGTGGCTCAGTGCTGCAAAGGAGGAGCAAATCTGCCTGGGATAAACAACAGAACAAACTTTAGGGTTGTTAGCATTAGCTAAACTTGTTTGCAGTTGATCTTAAGTGGGGAGATAACTTCATAGATCCACTAAAAGTCACTTTGAGACCAAAATGAGATCAGAAAGTTTGGTATTGGTATCTAATGCAATGAAATTCATATTTAAGTGTGACTTGTGTGTCCAAATACATTTTTGGCTGCTGGGTTAGAAACACAGATACACACACTCACAGGTATGATCTGGTCCTTATGAACCTGGAGAATGTCACCAACACGTACATCTTTCCACTTAACAGTTTTGAAGCTGCAAGGGAGATATTTAAGAGGAAGAGATTCTCTGTAAATCTAAATTCGGTTGATGATGATGTGTTTGTTTTGTTTCTGAGCTTTCCAGGCCCCTGACAGCATTACTCACCCCTCAGGAGTGAGAATGTCACATGGGCGCCGGTTAATTTGTCCATCACTACGTCGTCTGCCCTGTGAGACGTGGGAGCAGAGGGAGCGTGATAGATAGATGTGGGAGTGAGGGGAAAATGGCTGAAAACTGAGATATGGCTGGTCTTCAGACTTCTATGTAAGTGAAAGTAGTTTAAAAGCATCGATTGAGAGAATGACATGAATGATAGACTCACCAAGCACAGGTGTTTGGTGATGAGTTTTTGGCTCAAGGTCTGGATTTAAAGTCACACCAGAGGTGTTCAGCTGGGATTAGGACTTGGCTTTCTGCAGACCAGTCAAGTTCTTCCACACTGACTGAATCGATCATTTCTTTTTGAACCTTGCCTTACACAGAGGCATTGTCATGACTGAATAGAAAATGGTCCTGTCCAAACTGTTGCTATAAAATTAGAAGCACACAATTCCCTAGAATAGCATTATATGCTTAAACATTAAGATTTGTACTCATGGAAATTACTAAAGTAGTCAAACCTGTTCATTAGAAGGGGGTGTCCCAATACCCAATACTTTTGTCCTTATAGTAT